CAGCAATTCGTTACTGGGAATATATCCCAAAGAGACCATAACTGACATCCAAGCAGATATATGCACACCCATGTTTATTGCGGCTTTGTTCACAAGAGCAAGGAGTTGGAAACAACCCAGGTGCCCATCAACAAATGAAAGGATAGAGAAGCTGTGGTATATTCACATAATGGAATACTATGCTGCATTGAAAAATAAGGAACTCATGCAGTATTATTCAAAATGGGTAAGCCTGGAGGACATTATGCTGAGTGAAATATCTCAGTAGCAAAAGGACAAATACTGCATGGTGCCACTGCTGTAAAATGGGACTGATTATCAGGGTTGGGATAAGACTGAGAAAAACTGGATAAATTCTGTATACTGCACTGAAACAGATGAGGGACTGAATAATTTAAAAGTGATGTATGATAGGGTATTATGGTTATCACAAGAGTCCACAATTAAGTGGGATGTACTTGGGGCGGTGGGAGGGGTGCGGGGGGATTGTGTACCAGGGAGGGAGTTTTTCTTTTACTTTTCAAAGAGAGGAGCAAACTTGGGGCGGGGGGTTGGGGGGGTGGGGGGGGGATGGGATGGGCGGCGGAGGGCTGGGCGGGGAGAGAAGTGAAGCAATGAATGGAAATCCAAAATCTCTGTAAATGTATGTTCATTAAAATTAATTAAAAAAATTTAAAAAAACACACAAAACTTCATTTAAAAAAAAAAGAATGTAACAGCTTAAATATCAAACTACAAACCCACAGTTGTTGAGTTATTATCAACAGATCATCAGATGCTCTAAGACAAAAACTTAACTGTCCAGTGGGGATTCCAGGATTGTAACTCTTAAAGGGAACACACTGCCCTGTCTCATATCTGTGGAGTAGCCAATGAGGTGAAACCACTATTAGTTGGCAATTCAGTGCTTATTTAACTGGCAGTCCTAATAGGGCTAATACGTGATAACTTCAAATCAATAAAGTCCATATGTAAAACCATTTACAATATAAAGAAATAGGCTTTAAATGTACAGAGCAAATCTTACCTATGCAAAAAGTTTTCTTTTGCTTGCTGAATTTGAAGTGTTCCCCCTTTCCATTTTGTTTTATTTAAAACAGACATACCTATAAAACAAAGATATACTATTCAAGTATGTGACAACACAAATTATTTCAGCATTTGGTTTCCCTAATTATTTCAGTTTTAAGATTTCCTTATCACAGAGGAAACTGATCAGAGAATATGAAACCTAAAAAAGAAGACCTCATTTTCACCACTAACAGCTAATGGCTACATTTGACTCACAGTTTCAAGATGGCAGACAGGGTCCTTGGGCTTCCTATTTCTGTTACTATAAAGTTTGAATGAGGCAAAGATACTCAGCATCGCACACCAATCATCAATGGATAACTTTGTAATAAATTAACCATAAATGATTCAACTATGGTTGAACTATGATGCCCTGGTAATTGATATTTTGAGTTTCTGCTATCAACTGCAATTAAATATTGTCAGATCAAATTTTACTCTTCCTTAAAAAAATCATGCATTGAATAAGTTTACAGACCATAGTGGCTTTCAATTCAATCCTTCATATATATTTTCTTTTATGACATTAATTATAATACACACAATGTGATCACATTCTTTCCACTTCCATCCTGCAATACTTGTTTCAGTTAGTTCTCCTACCCTATCATGGCCTGCCTTCTGAGCCATATACTCCTAGGTAGTTATTGCCCTTCTATGTAGGGTTGTACCTGTTGGCTATTGCTGGTCACCTTAGTGGCTTTGTTATTTTTGCCTCCAAAAGGCACTCTGACGCAGCTTCTTCAAGACCTATCTGCTTGTTCTCTTGGCAGTCCATGGGATATTCAGTACTCTTCTCCAACACCATAGTGCAAAGCCATCAATTCTTCCAACATCCATTGTCCAGTTTTCAGATGTACATAAAGTGATTAAAATAACTATGGCCTGAATCAGGTGCATCTTAGCCCTCAAACTGACATTGTTGCTCCTCAATAATTTGGAGAGGTCCCTGACTGCACTCTTTCCCAGTGCAATGTCTCCTGATCTCAAATCTTGTCAAGATACTAAGGGTGTTGATTGCAGATCCAAGAAAGGTGAAATTGTTGACAGTTTCAATCTTGTCTCCATCTATCATGATGTTGCCTGTATGTCCAGTGGTGAGAAGTTTTGTTTTCTTGGAGTTGAGATGGAATCCCTATTGAAAACTATATTCTTTGATCTTCTGCATTAAAGAGTTTCAAGTTATCCTCCATTTCAGCAAGTTTGTGTCATCTGCATAACATAGGTTACTGATGAGTCTTTCTCCAATCCTGATGCCACATTTTTCATAGAGCACAGCTTCTCAAATAATTTGCTCAGTGTATACACTGAATAGGTATAGAGAAAGGATACAATCACAACACAAACCTTTCTTAATTTTAAAACATGTACAGTTCCCTTGCACTGTCTGCACAACAGCCTCCTGGTCTAGGCATGCTATTGTTTTTGTTATATGCTATCAAGTTGCTTGTGACTCATAGCGATCCTATGGACAAAAGCCCTAAGCCCTGCTTTATCCTATGCCAATCTTACTGTCTCATATACTTACTGACACATATAAGCACAATTAAATGCTCTGGGATTCTCATTCTTCTCAATGTCAGTAGTAACTTATTACGATTCACAATGTCAAATGCCTCTGCATAGTCAATAAAGCACAAAGAGACATTCTGATAAGATTCTTTGCTTTCAGCCAGGGTTCATCTCTCTGGTGCCACGGCCTCTTCTAAATCCCGCTTGAACTTCTGACGGTTTTTAGTCTTGTTCTAGTAATTTTTAATGATCTTCAGTAGGATTTTGCTTGCATATGGTACTAATGATATTGTTCAAGAATTTCCAGTCTGTTTGATCTCCTTCCTTGGGAATGGGAATATGAATCTCTTCCAGTCAGCCAGCCAGGTAGCTATCCTTCAAATTTTCTGGCATAAGCATTTCCTGGTGAGCATGTTTAGGGTTTGCATCTGTTAGGTGTTAACAGATCAACTGGTTTCCCACTGATTCCTTGGGTCTTATTCTTTGCTAGTGTCTTTAGCATAGCTTGAACGTCTTTCTTATCATTGGCTCTTGATCATATGGTTGTTGTTGTTATGTGCCGTCGAGTCGTTTCCGACTAATAGCGACCCTATGCACAACCTTCGGGATTCCTTCGGGATTGCAGTGCAGCTTCTTGCCACTAGGCCACCAGATTTTCCTTCTCATGGACTTCTTTACCCTCAATCTGAACTTGCACATAAGTAATTAATTAATGGGCTCTTTCACAGTCAGGACCTGGCCCAATTTTGAATCATGATATTGAGCATCTCCAATGATTCTTTCCACAGATAGTCAATCTGATTTCAACAAGTCCATCTGGTGAGCTCCATATGTCAAGTCACTGTGTTTTTTTAAAAAAAAAATTTGCAATAAAAAAAAATCACTGAATGCACAAAATCCAAGAATTCTATTTCTGGCCTCATTTCTGTCACTAAGTCTGTACTTTGTGACTACCATCCCTTTTTCATTATTCCCGACTTTTACATTCCAATCACCAATTATCATTAACACATCTTGATTGCATGTTTGATCAATTTTGGACTACAACATTTTATTAAAATCTTCAATTTCCTCCTCTTTGCAAATGCAAGAGCTGCTGGTGCATATATTTGAAATAATAGTCGTATTCCCAGGGCTTCCTTGTATGCATATAAAAAATATCCTATTTCTCAAAACATTTTGCTTCAGGATAGAAAATGAAGTTGTCTTTTTAACTTTGAATAGAACAACATTCTCCTTCTGTTTTTCATTACCAGTGTATTATTTGACTTTCTAATTCAAAATGGTCAAAGCCAGCCCATCTCATGTCATTAATGCCTAGAATGTGGTTGCTCACGCATTTCATTTTATTTTTCACAACTTCTAGTTTTCAACAATTACACTTTGTACATTCCATGTTCTAATTATTAAAGGATGTTTGCAACTGGTTTTCCTCATTTTGACTGACTCCAATCTGGGGCCTATCTCTAATCCTATATAACTGTCTGTGTTCCCCTAATGTTCACAAGGCTTTCAGAGGCCTGCTCTTTAAGAAGTGTATGGCCACTGCTACTTCCTAGTCTGTCGTACTCTGGGAACTCTACTAAAACCTGTCCACCATGAGTGACCCCTCAGGCATCTGGCATATCTGTGTTCTTTAAGCATCACAGCAAGCAACTCACAAGTTATTTCAGTATAGCAAACTTGCAGAAAAAGGATGTATTAATAAGAATAATGATAAATAAGCAAGAATATAGATACTTAAGTTATAATTAGTAATATCCAGATCATTGCTCCAATAAAACAAACAGGTAAATTCATACTTTAGCAGGCTCCAAAGCAGACCAGTAAAGTTTGATATTTTTATGTGCTGTCTCTAATTTCTGGCCCCTGGTCCAGGACCCTCCACTGTGATCCCTTTTAGAGTGGTCAGCTTATGTAGCTGAGCTCCTTTTCAAGTGATTGTATCCAGATTTGTGTTCCGGTTCAGGGTCATGGAGACTTAGGTTTTTGTGGTCCATTAGTCCTCTGCATCAATTATTTCTATGCATTTTTGTTTTTCTTTGCTCTGGCTGGGGAGAGACCAATACTAGTACTACGCCAATTTACCTTGATGTCCCCAGAGGAAATGATGTTGTTGAGTATCGCTGAGTCAGAACTGACCCACAGCTGATTTTACACTGCTCATGCTAATCTTGTGATGTGTATCTTCTTTCTTTTTTTAAATTAATTTCAATGAACAATTACAGAGATTTTAGATGTCCATTCATTCATTGTTGCAGATGTGTATCTTCTTTTTTGTATGTGTATCTTCTTAACAGCAACTTATTTCCTCAGAGTGTTCAGTTATGATTGAAGTTGTTTCCATAATTTTGTCATGCTTTCGCTCTACTATACATTTAACACCATATACAAATGTGCATGTAAAAATATCATCCCGACAGTTCCCAGAGGTCTGTGGGGAAACACAATCTTTGTAAACTTGGACTTTGCTGGGAGATCTGCAAGGACGGCAGAGGCATTTCCAGGGGCTTGCGACCCAACCTTCCTGTCTGCTACCACTGCAGGTACCGACTACAGTTCCCAGAGGTCTGTGGGGAAACGCCATCTTTGTAAACTTGGACTTTGTTGGGAGATATGCAAGGACGGCAGAGGCAGTTCCAGGCCGGGGCTTATGACCCAGACAGCCCACACCCATTTAGGAAGACAATCATATTTGCCACATCTATAAGATTTATCAACCTCCCCTAAAATACTCATGTACCATTGAGGATTAAGTTACGTGGTGAATCAAACTGGTTTCTGGCCTGAGTAAGTAGGGTCCACTAACTCAAACAACAGGGAGATCCTGAGCATCTCCAAAGAGTGGGGAAGCTATTCCAGAAAGGGAACAACAGACTTCCTCCTTCATTATTTAGGTTCTCCTGAGGCCCTCCCCATGTGTATCAGTGTGTGCTTCCTCCCTTCCCACTCACGTGAGCGTTGGAGTGTGCACGCACCCTCTACGCATTTACTCTTGTTTCTGCCCAACCTTCTTCTGAAGCAGTGACGTCAAATCAAAAACCAGCTACCACCTCAGACACGAAGAACTCTGCAATGACAATGGCCCATAGAAAGCAGACTGCTTCACTTGTCCCACCAGCCCAAAGCAAGATATCAACCCCCAAAGAAGACACAGGAGCAACGGATTTCCTGGAGCCAGAAAGCCTGATGGATCTTTCTGATAGTGATTTTAAAAGAACAATGATTGAATATTTTCAATGGATAAAAAAGAAACTGGATGAAATAAAGAATAGTGCTAGCAAAGATAAGGAGGAACTTAAAAAAAAATCAAAAACAATGCAGAGAAAACAAATTAAGCATTAGAGGCATTGAAAAAACAAGAAACTGTGATCCAGAATTTGAAATCTAAGGTTTCTGATGCTGTCAACATGATTGAGGGACATACAAATAGAGGTGAAGAGATGGAAAACAAAATCAGTGAAATAGAAGATAGAATTGTCACCACAGATCTGACTGAGAAAAAAACAGAATCCAAAGAGAA